CTAACGACAACGCAGGAGAAGAAAAGTCCAAGAAGCAGCAAGTGACTCTTCTTTACCGCGTCGAGCCCGGTATCTGCGACCAGTCCTTCGGTATCCACGTTGCGGAGCTGGTCCGGTTCCCGGAGAAGGTGGTCAATATGGCCCGGCAGAAAGCCGAGGAGCTCGAGGATTTTACGTCTGCGGAGGCCCAGGGGCAGCAGCCTAGCGTGTCCATGGATGGGTATTCTCAGGAAGAGGTGGAGGAGGGCAGCGCGCTGCTCAAGGGGATGTTGTTGAAGTGGAAGGCGGAGATTGAGTCGTCTGACAAGAAGTTGACTGTTGAGGAAAAGAGACAGATAATGCGCGATCTGGTCAATGCTGATGAGAAACTCCGGGAGAACAAGGTCTTCCAGGGTATCAAGGCTTTGTGATGGTCTTCATAAGACTACTTTTAAAGTTTCGGGTATAGCGTAAGGCGTTGGGCGTGTATACAAGGATCAAAGTCAAATGGCTAGATATACCGGTTTACAATGATATAATTCTCTTCTTAGTCTTTGAGATGTCGATATCCTGGTATACTATTTTATGCCATATGGCACGATCACCGCTATATGGCAGTACTGTCGACAAAAGATTCAGCAGCACGCTTTGCCAACTCATGCATATTGAATCCAACGTGACGTATTGCCATTTCGCGGGCTTCATTTGGCAAAAAGCGACCTCTTGTATAGCAAAACCAGTAGTCATTCGCGTTCCAGTTTGTGTGGGATGACCGGCTGAGAGGTCGACTGGCAGGATAGGACAACCGCATCCTTCGTTGCTCCTAAACAGAGAAACGGCCTGGCTTATCCATGATTGCAAATGTACAGTTGACAAACTGGAAATAAACGAGACAAGATCCTATGCAGATGATAAGGGATAGTGTGCGTATCTTAAGACACGCAAGACAGCAGGAAGGGAGTATGCTGTGCAGGAATTAAACTAGAGAGAGATAGCACACTTTGCTCAACATTAGAAGGTTAGAGAACTGGAGATCTAGAGTAAGAGGAGAGTGATGCCGCCTTGTGCCATTTATTAGGGGTAGCTGTGGACCAGCATTTCACATATAAGCTACACATCTCCTCTATTTGGCCACTGCATCTTGACTTCGTTGGAGAAGTAGCAAAGTAGCTAGAGTAAGAGTGAGTGGATCACATGACTCAACCAGCTTGCCTTCTTAAAGCGGCAACCCCAGCAATAGGTATGCACGGGGTACTTTGTATAAAAAGAGCAACAACTCAAAGGCTGGGGAATCTTGGATTTGATTCTGGTTAAGTTCGCACTGGAAAATGCACTCTTTTCACTGATGGACCCTCTAATAGGTGTCATTGCTAGGCCGCACTGGTACTAGCCGATAAGGTGCAGCTATACCTATTCTGGACCGGTTCTAGTACGCTCTCGGCTACAGTCTGGAGCTTATGTACTCCGTATCTCGGCCAGACGTGGTACTCTCCACAAGCAATCGCAACAACTGCAACAACCAGTACCTAACGAATCCCAGACAAAACAGTCTGTTATCTTGTCGCAAAGGACTGACTTATCGTTCTTTCTCCTCTGCTACTAGAATTTACTTTGATCACCAGTTCTCAACCTCCCCTCAGCGATGCGCGCAGACTAAAACACAAAGGCGGAAACGCTAAACTCTGGATTCATGCACCCCTTTTCCATCCTCACTCTCGGTATCTTTGTAGCGGGCTATATCACCGCGCGGTGGGATCTTGTTACGCGGTTATACGAACTGGCCATTTTTGCGTGGGATCACGGTGTTGTGGTGAGTGCATCTCAGTTCGCGCAACCGCTCCTACTTGCAATTATGACTGCGGAACACAGGACCACGAATGCGCAGACAATTGAGCTAATAACTCTTGTTCGCAGACACGAACAGCCAAAGGCTTTTTGTTGCTATCAGTCTTCTTTTTCCTCTTGGTCCTTCCGATCAATCATCTTGCGATAAAGGAAGCTGAATTGGTAAATGGCCCTATCCGATGCCAATTGCTATTGAGGGATCGTATGCTGATGCTGCTTTTTGTATGGTAGCACCCTCGCCCGCCGCATCTGGGTGTGTCCGCTCGCGAACAGCTACGCCGCCGAGGCTCTTTTTGATCCGGATCGAAGGATGACAACATGCTCATGGGCGATGGATTGCTACGGGTATTCTGGCCATACGACCTCCCTCGGTCCTCATCCCCGGGGGTGATTATTGGATGGAGGAACTCTGAACTGGATCTGTTCGTCCTCACGGTGCTGGAAGATGTTGAGGTAAGTTAGCGTTCTGTCCCGAGCGGCAGGTCGGCTTGGGGAGCTGACGGTTGACTCGTGGGATAGCCTCGAAATGTCGACAATGCACTACGTGCTGGAATCCTCTTTCGCAACAGCCCCCACCCAATTGCGCGGATATTCACGCTTTGTGGAAGATCGACAATGCATGTTCTGGGATCAACCAATCCACAAGAACCGCCATCTGCATTTAACCCGGCCCATCTCCATGTGACAACGCATCCGTCGTCTAAAGTCCCTCGGATATATTGTCCGCCGGAGGCGAATATATCTGTTCAGGTTATCATGTTTCATCGTCCGCATCCGACCAGGATGGAGTACATGTCCCTGGATCCGATTTCCCTTGCTCTGGGGGATAAAGTGTCCATCGCTGATAAACCAGAGGTTGTACCTTCGACCATCGATGCCGAAGAGGAGCGGGATAGAGCAGTGCGGGACAAGCTGGTCGAGAAGCTGAAATTACACACAGTCGTCAAACATATGCCTTCGCCCAAGGAGCAAGCACTGCCTCTCATCATCAACCAGGTCAACTGTGCTTATGAAATGGGAAAATTGATGGAAAAGAATAGCCATCTGATTGGAATCCGGGTTAAGCGAAGTATGAGCGTGGGAGAACGCGTGGTTGAGTCCGCAACAACGGTCTGGGACCTCTTTGTCCTCGGGGTGTCGTATGTATTCTGGCAGTGGATCTGGCCGGTGGCCACTCGTATTTTCATCATTGGCCTCGTCTTCCATCGTACGATTGCCGAGGTTGTTCTGCAGATACTTGAGTGGCGAGCTCGTCCTGATGCAGCTGCCCTGAAAGACATCTCTGCGACGGCTCAACAGGTTGACATTCGACTGCAGCAATTTTGCTACTGGCCGATACAGTACGTTAAGCTGCGCCAGAGGAAAGACGACTGGGAGAGTGTTACTACGAGCCATCCGGATTACATCCGTTTCTACAACAGCTTGTGGCTAGTTGCCAATGATGTTATCATCGGTATTGCGCTGGGATCATACATCATCGACAACGCCAATTGGGTGGCTTTCCAAATCAACAGTGTCCTCACTGGCTGGACAGTAGAAGGCTTGCAGCGGACTATATCGTGGTTGATGGACTGGCCGGCCGGCTTGAAGCTTAATAACGAGCTTGCTGCATTCTTGGGCGACCTCTTTCTCTGGGTCATTGAGAATTGGGCTGGTATGCATTTTCTTCTACTAGACTTATTGTTCTCTCTCGCTAATTATGGGGCAGCTTGCATTGCGAATCTACAGCCTTACCTCCCGCATGTCATATACGTCGTCGGATGCTCGAGTTTCGCCGGAGCCAGCATGCCGATCGCCCTTTTTTCAGACCTCGTCTCCATTCTAACTGTGCATATCTACTCGTTCTATGTTGCGTCCGCCCGTATATTCAACTGGCAACTTACTATCATCATATCTCTCTTTCATCTTTTCCGCGGCAAGAAGCGCAACGTCCTTCGGCATCGAATAGACTCGTGTGATTACGATCTTGATCAGCTTCTGCTCGGCACTATCCTCTTCACAGTTCTCTTCTTCCTTCTGCCGACCGTGATCGTATTTTATCTAACGTTTGCCTCTGCGAGAATGTTGATCATCTCGCTAAAAGCGGCACTTGACACATGTTTGGCTTTTCTCAACCATTTCCCTCTATTTGCGTTGATGCTGCGCGTGAAGGATTCCCGACGGTTACCAGGTATGTTGGGCTTGCTCATATGCTTAATCAGCAGTCACTGACTAAATGTGAGGTGGTATCCGTTTCGAACTACGCGAGGAGCAGGACAAGTCTCTTCATCCGCACTCCACTATGCCTTTCATCCATCTCGAGGTATGTTCACCTAATCCGTCGTCCCATTAAGACTACTGTCAGAGCAAGTCCTGAATGAGATAGTCGATTCCACTCCCTCTCCGCGCCATGTTTGACCAGTACTTCCAACTCGGTCATCGTCTTCGGAAGCACTATCTTTCTCCGCGCGTGATATTCTGCCTCTTCACTGGCCGTTTTGTGCCTCCCATCCACCGCCGTAACCTGTACAGTATGCAGTACAGCATGCTGCCTGCGCATCGGGCAGGTATGGCGGAGGTGTGGTCTCTGTTGACCCAGCCCCGAAAGACAAACAGCGGTGGTAGTGGCTCTTCTTCGATGGGAGGCGTCACGGCTGCCAATGGATTACTTAGGGTTCCTTCGGGCTTTGGACAAGGGGATGTCAGACGACGCGGCCACCGGTATTAATGCTTAATAATGTGAATAATATGTCATGACGTATATAATCAAGAGATTAATGCCTAGTCCGTTGCAAAGTTGGGTCCTTGCACATAATGCTTTGGGACCATTTCACCATTTCTCATCAACGACTTGGGCTGGCGTTTCGTGGAAACATAACCACCGGATATGAGTACATATATGAATAAGGGTAAAAGCATGAGAGGAAGGCGCCAAAGTATTATACATAAGAGAATCCGCCGTTCTTAAAGACAGACTTCCAGTCAGTGGATATATATAGCTCAGATAGAACATTCGAGCATATGTTCAAGTCATCACATAAATTCGGCATGCTTCAGCGGAGGCCGTCCTTAGCCGGATTCTACTGGTAGCAAACCCGACTTAGTCTTGGAGGGTGAAACATCCAGGAGATGTTGCCTGCAGGAGCGGAGATGAAGGAGAGTGTCCCCAATGCAGGGGACCGATGACCAACGTCACTTCACGATTTCCGGAGATAGTCAACATCGCTCTCCGAGGCTGTACTTTTTCTCGCCTCTTCAACCATGGTGTCGATGCCTTTTTCTTTCAATGCTTTCTGATGGAATTGTTAGTCTAGGCCGCAGAGGTCTTACGATGTCTGCTTTGACATACATGTAGACAAGACCTGTACTTTGAGAATAGTTCTTCGCATTCATTTGATGAGGTTTTGCCACGCAGGTATTCTGTGGTAGTTAGCGGGCATTGTCTACGTTTGCTGGAAGGGGAGAATAGATGCGTACTTTCGCTGTACCACTTCAGAAAACAAGTATCATACTTTCTGGGGAGCGTCAGTAGGAGCTCTTTGTCTGTGGTTGCCTTTGGCAGTAGGTGGAGAGAATATACTCTTTCAGGTCATTGCATTCGGGAGCTATGGAAGCTGCCATGGTGGGCTAGCTTGCAGTGTCTGGACCGACTGATGTATTTCAAAGACGTTGGAATATTCAAACCTCCTTTCTTTCACCGCATTCGATGTCTCACTGTCAATGGGATTCTCTATGGAACCAGTATACTTGGAGTCGAGAACTTGTAGCTGGAGACGATCGCCGATATACCGCGGCTAGACTGATCATGGCAGGCGGTCGGTGATTTTTCCTCCGGCGGGCGCATTTCTCCACCTCCGAGCTTTCCTCAATTTTTCAGGTTATTATTTGTTCCTGCGAGTTTATATTTCTTGACCCTTCGTCTCTTGCTTGGCTGAGTTCGACTTCGGACTCAAATATACTCTGCCAATCATGGAGTCAGCCGCAGATTTTCCACCGTTCCAGCAACGGTTAACGTCCAGTCTGGTGCAGATGACGCGCACCGTTGGACAGCTCTCTGCAGAGGATCTGAGTTTCCACCGGACTTCGAGCGCCGAAGTCTCGGAATCCCTGGATGAGCAGAGTGATAGGATTTTGTCGTTGACCTCGACGATCCTCAAGGCTGCCACAGCCGGGACAGATTTGCCCGCACCTGAGCTGCACGATGAAGACTCTGTCGAAGACAACTGGCGGGGTGTTGTTGATGTTATCGATGCGCTGCTAGAGAGGGCAGACGCCTGTCTCGACGAATTTACGGGAGTCATCAAGAAATTGAGCCCGTCACAGCAGGAGCAGAGCGCAGCAAAAGCCGCCAAAAAGGCTTCCACCAAGTTCCCTTCCGTTTACGATTTCGGCCCGTCGAAGATCCCCAAGCCGCAATTGTTGTTTCAGCGGCCTCCCGATAACACCGATGTTTCGCCTTTCAAACCCCTTCTTCGAATCAAGCCTCACGCGATTGTTCCGTTAGAGGATTCGTTGAAGTTGACAGATCCTGCGCAAGATTATAAGAATCCGTACGAAACGGAGATCCGCGCTGCCAAGTATCCGGAATCGACCTATACCGTCTCTCCTCCGGTCGAGTACCAGCCGTTTGAGTCGACAGCTGCGACTTTCGTGGACACCTTGGAAGGAGTGAAGGAAATGTTGAGCGAGCTCAAGTCGGCAAAAGAGATTGCTATTGATTTGGAGCATCACGATGTGCACTCGTATCATGGCTTGGTGTCTCTGATGCAGATCAGCACTCGGGACAAGGATTGGGTTGTTGACACGCTAAAACCTTGGAGAGAAGAGCTCCAGATTCTCAATGAGGTATTTGCGGATCCTGGGATTCTCAAAGTCCTCCATGGCTCGTCCATGGATATCATCTGGCTTCAGCGGGATCTTGGCCTCTACGTTGTGGGCATGTTTGATACCTACCACGCCGCCTGTGCCTTGAACTACCCGAAACGGAGCTTGAAGTTCCTCCTTCAGAAGTTTGTCAACTTCGAAGCCGACAAGAGATATCAGATGGCCGACTGGAGAATCCGTCCTCTTCCGTCGGGAATGTTTGACTATGCCCGTTCCGATACTCACTACCTCCTCTATATTTACGACCACCTACGTAACGAGCTGTTGGAGAACTCGACGCCTGACCACAATCTCGTTGATTATGTACTGGAACAGTCAAAGAACGAAGCTTTACAACGTTACGAGCGCCCCGTTTACGACGCTGCCACGGGACAAGGGCAAGGCGGATGGTATGACTATCTGTGCCGCAACCCTGCCGTTCTGAGCAAGGAACAGTTTGCCGTCTTCAAAGCAGTGCACCAATGGCGCGATGAGGTGGCAAGGGAAGAGGACGAGGGCGTTCAGTGCGTGTTCCCAAAGCACATTCTTTTCAAGATTGCCCAAGTCATGCCCCTCGACCAGGGTACTTTGTTCCGGACATTATCTCCCGTGACGCCGATCGCCAAGGAGCGAACAGCGGATCTCCTGGAAGTTATCAAGAAGGCGAAGATTGAAGGAGCTACGGGACCAGAATGGCGCGACGTCGTACGGCCATTGAAAATAACAGCAGCTCAAGCCGCAGAAAAGGGTCTCCCGTCGCCCCCCGCCGCCGAGGCGACTGAGTACCCTATTGCAGCGCGCTACAAGTCTTCTCAATTCTGGGGACCTGTCTTGGAAGTCCGGGAGCCGCTTACGCCCCCAGAGTATTCTGCAATCGCGTCTGCTGAGGCTCTTCGACTTTCTCTTCCCCTGCCGCCCATGCCACGGACTGTATCCGAAGCTCGCGAGAAGCTTGGCGATACCAAACCAGTGCCGAAGCCTGCCGCAGCCCCTGCTCCAGCGCCAGAGGAAGACAGCAAAAAGATATTCACAGTCAAGGAGCTCGGCGGACCTCGCAAACGCAAAGCAGCAGCAGCCGAAGAAGCCGAAGCTGCGCCATCGGCTGAGTTGGACGAGATTAACCTGGAAACTGGAGATGCCTTGGAGAAGCCGTCCAAGAAGCAGCGCCAGAAGAACAAGAAGAACAAGTCGCAATCACAGACCGAAGGCGATGCGCAAGACGATGTACCGTTCAACTATGAAGCTGCCGAGTCGGTATTACACGCTCAGCCTGCGCAGGCAGCACCCAGCCGTGTCTCTAAGCGATTCGCCCCATACGCAAAGGCAATGGAGGCGCCTGCAGGAGCCCGTAAGCACAAGAGAGAGATCGCAGGGAAGCAGTTTACATTCCGGTGATGGGCTTGCAGGATAGTTTGCTTCTTCGTACACCCGCCTATGGCTATCTTTCATTCTCTAGGATACATGGAAGTCGGATGCATCCGTTGGTGGTTGTGATATGGGTTATTCTGATTGTGTGCATAGCGATACCCGATAGTGTTTAAATAAAAGGTCGCCTTGTATTGATCTGACATCATCTCTGATCTGTGCTTTCTTGATCAGTAACCCGAGCTGGAAACCACTACTCACGCTCTAAAGCCTTGCGCCTCTGCTTAAGCATGTACGTGTACATCATGAAAGCGCCTAACCATTAGCTTTTTCGCATCTACAGTCATTAGGAATAAAAGTAAACTCACCAGGAACATATAGCGCAAGGCAGAAGTAGAAAACCCCAGCCCCGATGGGGTTGACCGTCGCAGCGGCAGCCTTGTACATCAACCACCACTCGCTCCCAATCCCGACGGGATACAAGACAATGAAGAGGGAGTATCTACGTATAGCGAATATCAATCATGCCATTCCCATACGAATGCCATGTTTCCACGGGGTCAAATGCATCTCACTCACCTCAGCCACTTAACAACATCCACCCTGATCCCCGCCAGAAGAAAACCGAAATACGCATACCGGACAGCATCCGCCGCGGACCACGCCAGCAGGAGAGCCGGATAGGCAGGCGATGAAGCCGTCGGCTCGGGATACTGGTAGTTTACAGCCCAGACTTGGACGCAGCGCGTGAAGATCTGGGTGAAGGTCGGAAAGACGGGGGCTCGGGTGAGTCCTGTATCCCGGTTAGCTTTGCCTGGGGTAGTGGGGAGTGGAAATGCAAAAGACCTGTTGCGGCGTGAAGGATTTCTACGATGGCGAGGGTTTGGGTCCATCTTGTTTGGGGCTCGAGGTGAGGGTATACATTATTTGAGGAGAGGAATGCGGCGATGACGCCGACGAGGATTCGGAGCCAGAGGGTGGAGGAGAGGGTGTTGTAGAGGATGAGGTAGGTGGTTTTTATTGTCATGGTGTGTGTCTAAGATTGGAGATTGATATGGAAGGTGACTGAATCTTTGGTTTGGTCTGCTGTATAAACTCGATGTTATTATCAATGGTGTGTAATTTTGAGGAGATTTGCATGTGATAGTATTTGTCAGCATCAGTAGCTCAATACTCAAGAGTATGGGGTAGATATGGAGAAGGATCAAACTAGATAATAGTATTCCAAATATTTTCTTCTTGACTATCTAGTGCCATTGAAAGTGAGATGCTTACTTGACGCGATGGATGAGGCGACGGAATTTAGATGCTTGGAGAGAAAAACAGAGTTCAATAGAACAGAGACAGAGCATGCAAAAGCAATATGCCTGTTGCTTTTTACCCCATACTTGCAACAACTTATTCTGTACAAGTCTACGTCTGAGCTCGATCCGGTATATAGGTACGCCGTCCCATACTGGGCTTTTGGTGCCGTGATTGCCGTCAACGGTCACTCCGGTTGAACCGGAATGCTGATGCGACCAATCTCCAGCTCTTAGAATAGAAAGTTTGTCCTGAGTATCCCAGGGCCAAGGTAAGATCTCGTGTCTCGATCGTGGAAGTGAGGTCTGTGCGTGTGTCATGGTTCATGAGTTTACAGTCTGCACGGCGCAAGACCCTAGCCTGGAGTCAGTGTCATGCAGTGGCTAGAGTCTATCTACAGGTCACTTGATCCGGATTTGGCATTACTGTCAGGATTGATCCTACTTATCGATATATTGGATGACATATGCATACCTGGTAGTCTTCTGATGCGAGACGTTGACCAAAGACAATTGCACGTCTATAGCGGCCTTAGAGAGACAACACTACTCCATAGGAATATGGGTATTATGCAGCTGATCGTCTACTGAGCCATCCGTGGTTGTCAGCTTATACACATGACTAGTCTCTGATCATCCTCTCCCCTCAAAAATGGTCATGATGTAATTGACATCGAGCTGTGCAACAGGACATGAGCAATTCGAGTTTTCGGAATCTTCTTCCTGGAATGTATATGCAAAAGCCACACCAGAGTTCCTAATAATGAATCGCGGACGTTGATGTTGATCCCTTGATGTTGAAGCATAGATATGGTGGTTTAGCTTCTTAGTACATATTTTGTAGAAATTAAAGATAAAAATAAAATGATGGCGGATGCTGTCGATTTGTTGACGCAGGTACCAGGCCCCAGTCTGATCAGGTGGATACTTAGCATGGGCACTAACCCGCTAGTTCCTCGTCTTCCAGGGGACTCCAGGCCTTAGTGCGGTCGCACCACAGTTGGAACTCGGAACTTGGAACGGTCAGGTACCAGCAGTATCATTATTTGCCCTGAGAAACCATAAATCAATGGATTAATCCATTCTTCTGTGAGACAACATTCTATATTTATTGATCACGCCACCAGCTGATTGATTGTGAGTTCGTTTTCCGGTCTGATTTTAGACTACACTAGCACCAAAAGCAAGAATATCAGGAATGCTAGATAAATGGGCTGGCTGATAAGGACTCTTATCAGCAACCATCATGGAGTAGACTACCTCGCCAGGTACTTCGTAATGATGGAGAGGGGGTACGAAAAGAACGGTGGGCCAATGCAGCAAGACAGCCATGATTCAGGTCAGAATGGTGCGGAGCCAATGAGCACCACGGATCCAAGCACACATGGCAGAAAACCATCAACATCCCTGAGGAATGGACTCAGGAATTCAGGTTTTACAATCTCAAGTAGATGTAATGATAATGCTGCTGATAACATTGCAATGATAACATCCGCATATGACAGCTCTGGAGGCAAAGACTAAGACAAGAAATGTGCAACATGGCCTCTGAGACAATTAGTCCAGGCTGTTTTTTCGTCTCCTACTATCTAGTCTAACCGCCACTCCACATTTCCTTACTGGGGAGTCTGCAGGGAGTCATCATTATTATCAACCAGCTAAATCAACAAAATTATTATTGTTATCGAAAAAAATTGGGAAGTAAATTCTCAAACAGTTAGTTACCATGTACACAATTTCATCGTATCTTTATGATTATGCGTCAAAACGTCTCTAGGCTCTAGCTTGCACAATAATAGTCTGACAGACCGCATTTAATCTGACCTACAGGTTGAGGGGTGGCGATCTGGGAGTAGATACCGGGCTGGTCACAGGTTAACGCACTGGGCCAGGGGTAAAACTTAGCCCCATAACGATAATCATAATTTACCATATTATTATTAATTTTCCGTTCCTCCGCCCTCCATCCTCGCCAGCACAAAAGGGGAAAGAAAGTTAGAACTAGTTGCCTCCTTCATCGTTATTCGCTGGAAACGCACAGGCTGGTTACCTAGATACTCCAGCTCGAGGACTGTCTCCAGTCTCCAGCATCTGTCTACCGACATTTCAGGTGCGTGCGGCAGGTGGCTCCATCCTTCGGTGGATGGAGACATTCCCCTTGCGTCGTCCTGCATCGAGTGGGCTTCAACTTCCAAACGTCAGACTCTGAAAAAGGAGAAAATAAGACTGCGGGAGATGATCACCCGTACATTGATTCGGATAAACTTGCCTTAAAATACACCGTAGAATTGTTAAGATCTCCTTGATCTGTTGCCCGAAGCAGGACAAGTGATACAAGCGTTTCCCTTGAAAGGCAGGGAAGTGGAAGTCAAAGGACCCAAGGCAGAAGGCAGGAAACAAGGAACATCAACCCTGCATAGAGTGAAACAATGGACAAGATAGGCTTGTCGAACTCTGCCAATTATCTCGACGTCAAGGCCTGGCGATCACTTTGGTTATTTCAAGTCTACTGTACGTACAGAAGACAATGGCATTTGTCGATATCGTTAGAATTATGACGAGACTACTTTAGAAGTATCTGCATATCATAAAAAATAGGTAACCGTCACTTCGTGCTCTATAGATACATCAACATCTGGCTATTTCGAAGGATTTCTTGCGGAGGAGTGCCGATTTAGATGCCGAATGGCATGACCTGCATGGACTTTTTTATGGATTAAGTTAACGTGATCTTCGTTGGTATGGAGTATGAGAAATTCCCATTAACCTATATCTGCTACTCTTAATTGCCAGAAGAAAATACTGAATATTCATCGCTTAGACCCAGGTACCATGAAAAGACGGGACAAACTGCTGGGTCCTCTTTTCCGTACCCAGGTACGAGAGTACAAGCTCAGGTACCATGTATGGGGGTTTCGGGAGTCAGGAACAATAATCATCATCATCACGCACCCCCCATGGACATTCTCGACTAATTATTGCTTAATGTCATGAGGAATTTAACCCATTTATTTGACTCATTTGAACACCTCCTGAGCCCATATCTCCTCGCATATGCATAGACGCTCGGTCTCGTACGTTAATGCATGGTAAGGCATGCCTATCTCCACCGTATCGACAATTAATGGATGGTTAGTACTATCCCTGAGCCAAAAAAACAGAAATCCCCATCCGAGGGTGCCTTGGCTTCCCCTCCTTCCACTTTTCTTTTATTCCTTTTTCTCTATTTTTCTTTTTTGGCTTTTTCCCTTTGTTCTCTCGTTTTCTTCTTATTGCTTCTCCCATATCTAATCCCAAAATGAGTCGTCTATACTTTCGTTATTTTATTTGACACTTTTCTTCCTTCCCGCTCCTGCGTCACCCCTCCTGCTTCCTGATTCTTAATATCCATTAAACTTGCCATCATCGACATTATTTGATATCATTATTATCCAACTAATACTATACGCACTTGTACCCTCCTTTTAATTTTGGCTCTGTCGGTCGCTAGGTTATTTGCATTGCACCTAATATTTGATCGTCCTGCCGCCCCTTCTCTGCTTCGTCTTAATACTCTATCGCTTTAGGCTCACCAATTTCTTCCCATCCACCTTGCGCTCCCTACTTTACTCTGCATATTCTTTCCCTCCCAACCATCTCCTACGCCAACGGTCTCGACATTCTTTTTAACTTCTCCGCTTGAGACAATTCAGCTCCGACTGTCTCAATTGCTTTTCCGGGTCCCGCGACCGTCCCTGCCTTCTTGAAAAACTATCGATCCCTCCGCTGCTAGCGCTCCAACGCTCCGTTCGAAAGTCGTACAAAGTGTCGACCCTCAATCTATTCCTAGTATATCAACACAGCATACTGAGCTGTCGAAAACGTCTGCGGCATTCATAATCCGTCGGGCAGTCTCCATTGATCGCGTTTCGCTCGCTCTGATAGGTCCCTTTTCGACACCTGCGATAAGGAGTATAATCTGCAGACTTCGCTACGTGCGCGCGTCCACGCCTCAAACTATAGATGGTCAGCGTCTGAATTTTGACATCTACAATCCAGCCAGCGACAATCATCTGGCGGCTCCCAGTGATCTTCTTTGATCTGAACGTGTCAAGCCTGGTGGCTGGACTCTCCTCGATATAAGTGCAAGCGTATCTGTGCGATTGTCTGTTTGTGAGAGTTTATTAAGCACAAGTACCACCATAGCTTTTCTTTCACAATATGTCTGTAGCAACAATGTTGCAACCGGCGTCGAGAGCATCTACATCCTCGTCTTCCTCTTTCCAACCCGTCACCCGTCAGAACACGATGTCGTCCCACGATACACGGTCTCTTCGCCAGTCCAAGCGGCTGTCCGTCACCGCGCTATACCTTTCCATGTCCGCAAAAGACAGAGATCTCGAAATTTCCGACGATCTGGCGAAGGGTGAGTTACTTCAATTGGCTCGGTTGAAACATACAGGTTCAGATGTCTAATCGGTTCTGGAACAGCTCAAAAATATCTACGGGAACTCAAAGCGAAAATCTCCTCGCAATCGAAGAAGAATTTCGTTCTCGAAAAGGATGTCCGATATCTGGACTCTCGGATAGCTCTGCTCATTCAGAACCGCATGGCGCTCGAAGAGGTACGTTATTATTATTCCTGGTAAACTGGATGCCTTTGAGAGGTGGCTCACGTCTCTCGCAGCAAAACGAAGTTGCAAACCATCTTGACGACGAAGATCCCCAAGAGGGTTTCTTTCCCAAT